GACTGTACTCTTCTTCATGATGAAGTGCCTGTAGAAGCAAACTAACACATTTAAAATGTCATGGCATCCATTTAGGAGTGGCAACACCACCTTTAAGCTCTCAGGAGGAACGCTGATGAAGCAGATCGTGCTAGAATTAAGCTGATGTGTATCTCAGAGTGTTTTCTTAATAGAAATGGACAGTGTACTGTTTGGCATTAACGTGTAGAGGCCTTATCAGGTAGTCGGTGATAACTGCTGTGGTTCTCTTGCTCATGTTGTCTAATCTCAGGTTTTAGAAAATGTTTTTATAAAAGTGAATGTATGTCTGAATAAAAATCCACTTTATTAAGAAAAATGAAACTTTATTTGATATGATTTTTCTTATAGAAACAGGACTTTTTTCACATTGTGTCATCTCCCTCTATTGACACCAGGTGCTGGTTGAAAGTCGCGCATGTGTACGACAAAGCGAAGCAAAGGTTGAACAAAAAATTTATGGCATAAAAACATCACATATGTCCAAATGAATTCAACAGCAGCAGAAGGATTCTGTACAGTTAGCTGTATTACGCTAGCATATTGCTTCATATCTTGGTAAAAACTGCGATGCGTCAGTTATTGCTGCATCAATAAAGTGCTACGACTATGCCTCTGAGTGCTCACTTCAGTTATCTACAGAAGGCATGAAAAGACAATCTTACTTGGCATCTGAAGCAAAAAAAAACACACACACACACACACATATATATCTTTGCATATATGTATATATATGAAGAGTTTACTTGTAAAAACATTTAGCTCCATCTTCACAAACCTTCAGAAAACCGTCTTTTCCATCATCTACCTGAGACAACATCAATCAAACTAAACTTATCTCTGAGTCAGATCCACTCAGCTTCAGTTTGATTGACGTAATCTCAAGTGAGGGTTTGGGATAGACAAACAAAAACAAAACTAGTTTTCTGAAAACCTAAAAAAATGGAGTTATGTGTTTTTGCAGATGAACTATATGAAATGAGATATAAATCGATTACCTGTGTGAGGTAAGGACCACAGCTCGTCTGTCCTGAATAACACTCATGATGGAGTTCCAGAGAAAGCGTCTGGACAGAGGATCCATACCGGTAGTGGGCTCATCCTACAAGCGCAAAATCACAAATACATGCACAAAAACATTACGTCTGTTCTACCATTCTCATAACTGCAATCTTTATCCAAAACCTCTAATCCAACCAGCACTGTCATCAGTGTGGGCCTCACCAGCAGCACCAGGGCAGGACAGCCGATCATAGCAATGGCCGTGGAGAGTTTCCTCTTGTTGCCTCCACTGTAGGTCCCAGCACTTCGGCCTGCGTACTCC